TTAGGTCTCTGAGAGGAGAGTTAGAGGGAGAGCTTTAATTAATAGGTTTATTGAGGGAGGTGATGTTTATAGGGAACAGGAAATCCAAGGAAATGAAATGAAAGGAGTTTAGAATAGCCAGATCAAGAATTGGCTAACTTAAAAGTATAAAGTTCACAAGAGTCACTATTATGTAAATGAAGAGAAAATTAGGTTTAATACAGACTCACTAACTACAATAGAATTTGGCGAAGAAGGAGTTAATGGGGTCTTCCCTGGCTGCCGTCTCTGCCTGCCAGTTTTTGTTTGTTTGTTTTTTATTGCAGGGAACCAACCAGTGAGGAAAGGAGGAGCAGGCAGATAAGTGGGGAGGGGAGGCCTGCCTCTTCTGACAGCAGAATCAAGAGAGAGAACACAGAATCATCTCGGGTACTTTAAGCCTTTGGGATGTCTATGACTCTTTTAGGCAGGAGGGTTCCCGCTCAGCTCATCTTTCTGGTTGGTGTGGATAACTCCAGTGGGCTGACATCACTTAATGGGGCAGGGAGATGGGCGGAGTAAGCTTTGCAAATGGAAGAAACATCTGCTGCTGTACTTAGTCATGTGACCGGACCCTTTTCCGGGCACTGGTCTCTTCTGATGACGTGTGAGACAAGCATCATCCTGGCTGTGGCTTCTTTTGGTCTTCTGGCAGTCGTTGGTACCTTTCACATTCTTTGTCAGCACCAGAATTCAAGTACATCGATTCTTCCTCCGTCCTATTCATTATTAAGTATCCCCATGTACATGAGGCCATTGGGAACACCATAGCTTGGGACAAGCACCCGTTAGTCCTCAGAATAACATGTTTGCTCACAATTTAAAGAGGTCTTGTGAGGCAAGTTTGCCTAATGCAATACATCATGTAATTTCTTGACTGTTGCACCCTTGAGGACTGTGGATCTCAGTAAAATGAATTCTTGGACAACTACAGTCTTTGCTCCATTTATCATGATGTTAATCTATTCATCCCATTGCGAGGATTTTTCCCTCTTTACATTGAGTGTAATCCAGACTGAAGACTGTAGTCTTTGATCCGCATTATTCGTGTTTCAAGTTTTTTGGCTTTTGGCAAGCAAGTCTGTGTCATTTGAATATTGGCAATAAGCCTTCCGCCAATCCTGGTACCACATTCTTCACGTCATTCCGCTTCTCAGATTGTTTGCTTAGCATACAGATTTAATACGTCTGGTGAAAGTATACACCCGATGCACCCCTTTCTTGATTTTAAACTATGTAGTGTGACTTTGTCCAGTTTGAATGATTGCCTCTGAGTCTATGTTCAGCTTCCACATGAGGACAATTAGGAGTCCAAAATTTTTCTTCTTTGAGATATTACCCAGAATGGATTCAGTCAAATGCCTTTGCATAGCCAATCAGTGAAACACATGTAAAGATCTTTCTGGTAATCTCTACTTTGAGCCAAGATCCAGCTACTCTTCTCTCTGTCAGGAATGTTCTTCCCCCAGAGAGCCATTCTGCCCAAACGTTACCCTGTCAGCAAAGCCCTCCCTGCCCGTCCTTACAAAGTCACACCTCTACCCAGCACTTGCCCTTCCTCCGTTGCTTTGTTGTGGTTGCTTTTTCCTAATACGTTTATCATTATCAGTGTTACATTTTTGGAGAGACCAGTCCCTGGAGAAGGACATCAGGCTTGGTAAAGGAGAGGGGCAGCGAAACGAGGAAGGACCACAGGAGATAGATGGACAGGGCAGCGGCAACAAGGGGCTCAGGCAGAGGAAGCATTGTGAGGATGGCGCCGGACTGGACAGTGTTTCATTCTGTTGCACAGAGGGCTGCTAGGGTCGGAATTGACTTGATGGTACCTACCAAGAGCAACCACATTTTTATATTTTACTTGGGGGGGGGGGTTTGAGCCCCCCGAGGGCAGGGCGATCTGTCAAATTGCTCAGCAACGACATCTGGCTAATCTTTAGACCTGTGGTATTCGGGCCAGGCGTCTCCGGAGTTTCTATTTGTAAAGTGTAGTAAACAGAGAAGCCCCTTCTGTCCTCCACAGCACGCAACACACAGCCAGCCACATAGTAGGCACTCCGTACATTCTGGACTCACATTGCCGATTAGACTTGCCCGCTCAGCCTGGTGCTGAAGAGAAGGGTTCTGGAGCTGGGCAGCCTGGGTCTGAGCCTCCACTCTGACCTTACCAGCTATCAGACTCGGACTGCGTTATTTTACATCTCGCCTCAGCTTTCCCTTCTGTAAAATCGGGCTCACGATAATCCCTCTTGTGGGGTTGTTGCAGACGCAGCTACAAGTCGCACCTGTTAAATCGCTTAAAATTGTGCCCTGGCACACAACTGATTATGTTATTGTCAGTGTTTCCTCTGTCAACGCCTCTTGATTTTCATTATCTCCACAGATGCTGGAAATAACCCGTTGCCAGCCACTCCCCGGAGCCTCAGGTAGTCACTTTGGGTTCACGTTTCACTCACCCAGCAACACTCTGACCCCCTGCTGCGCACCAGATGTTCCAAAACAAGGAGACACAACCCTCAGAACTCCTGCCATCCAGGCGATGCCGTCTCGTGGCGACCCTATAGGACAGGCTAGAACTGCCCTGTGCGTGTTTGAGACTCTAGCTCCATGGGAATGGAAAGCCCTGTCTTTCCCCCACAGAGTCTGGTGGTTTTGAACTGCTGGCCTTACAGTGAGCAGCCCAACACATACCCACTGCATCACCAGGGCTCCTTGTGCCAGATGCTAGACTGTGGTTGTTAGCTGCCGTTGTGTCCACTGTTTCAGGGAGACCCGTTCTGTGTAACCAAAGGAAACCCTGCCCTATTTTGTGCTATCTTTATGACTGTTGGTATTTGAACATGTGGATGTTAGGCTAGACCCATTTTCATGGCGGCAGATGTTAAGCTAATGCCCAGAATGAACATGCTACACAGCGTTCCTGCCTCTAAGGGGGCAGCTTGTGAACTGGCAGGCAGTAACGGTCCCTTTGTGTGTGTGTTGAAGGCACCGGGTGGATGAGCACGAACAAGACGGCAATGAGCTTCAGACCACCCCTGAATTCCGAGCCCACGTGGCCAAGAAGCTGAGAGCGTTACTGGACAGGTACACGACACGAAAGCTCACCCCCCTCCCTTCTCCTGCCCGTGTTACACTGTGACGAGTGTGGATGTCCGCGCTCAATCTCGCTGCACTCAGTCACCCAGCCAGGCAGGCTTGGTGGCGTCCCCGTCCTCTAGATGGGGCAGCAGACCGTCAGCAGGGGAAAGACTTACCTGAAGTCACAGAGCGGTCGGGCAGAGCTGGGACTTGAAAACCTCTACGCACCTGACTCCAAAGCCCAAGCTATGTTTTCTTTTCTTTTTTCAAGTTAAAATGTGTGTGTGTGTGTGTGTGTGTGTGTGTGTGTAGGGAGCGGGAGAAATGAGGAGCTGATACCAAGGGCTCAAGTAGAAAGCAAATGTTTTGAGAATGATGATGGCAACATAAGTACAAATGTGCTTGACACAATGGATGGAGGTAAGGATTGTGATAAGAGTTGTACAAGCCCCAGTAAAATGATTCAATAGATATATATTATTGTGGTTTAGCTGAAAGTTTTCCAGAGCCAGTGAATTTCCATCCAACACTTTATACACATTTTGTTTCATGACATTAGTTGCATGCTGCTCAATGTAACGGCACTCTTCCTTCCTGTTCCCTCCCTGGCTTCCCCCTTGCCCTTGCCCATCTCTCCTGCCCCTTCCTGCCTTCTGAGCTTTGTTTTGGGGGTAACTACTGCCCTTTTAGTCTCCCCTGGCTGATCGCTTTAAGAAGCACGTGCTGCAAGTGTTGTTGTTCACTTTACACTTTACAAGCCTCTCGTTTAGCGAAAGGTGAGCCCTGGGGGTGGGTTCAGTTCTAGGTCTGAAGGCTGTCCAGGCTTCACAGTCTTGGGTTCCACCAGTGTCTATCAGACCAGCAAGTGTAGTCTTTTCTATGAGTGTGGATTTTGTTTGACCTTTTTCTCCCCCTCTGTCCAGGGCTTGCTTATCATGGCCGGTCATGGTAGCTGGGCACCATCTAGTTCTTCTGGTGGGGGGTGGAGGCTGTGGTTTGTGTGGTCCATTAGTCCTTGCTCGAATGTTTTTCTTGAGTCTTTGATTGTCCTCGCTCTTCTCTGCTCCAGACGGGGGAGACCAATAGTTGCATCAAGTGTTTAAGACCCTGGTAACCACTTAGCAAAGTGAGGTACAGATCATTGTCTTTGTGGTCTACGTTATGCTAGTTCACTGAGATGTGCCCTGAGACCGTGGTCCTGAGTCCTCAAGCTCAGGGGGCCACTCCCAAGCAGTGGCTGCTTATCAGAGCTCCTGCGCTTCCCTGCTTCCATGATCCTGCTTCCATGAGAAAGACAGGAAGCCCAGGAAGCAGGAGCGCCTTCTCACCCAGACAGGGCAAGAAACTATCAGTATTTGGGGAGTGCTTTCTGTGTGCCGATCGTCATGTCCCCCTCCTCTTCCATGCACTTCCAACAGAAGTTCAAGTACCGTCTACACATTGGTGTTGGTATTTCTGAAATAGATGGCAAAGGGTACAAGCCCGAAGGGCAACTGGAGGAACAAAGGAGCCCAACCACACACCTGCGTGGGGAGCCCTGTGATCTCCACATGCCTATGTGCATGAATAGCAGGACGGGCGGACTGGGATCTCTGCGTTGAGAGGCCTGTGTGGCATTCCGCACAGCATGCCTCACATCCATTGGGCCATAGTGCCTTCTTTCAGCACTGCCATGGGACACCTCTTAAGGTGCCCCAATGGGGCATGAACTCACTGCTCCCTGAATCCTAGACCCCTTCAAGGCGCTGTTGCCACTGGAGCCCCATGGGTCGTTCTTAAAGGAGCAGTGTCAAGGCTGGTCTTCTGTCGTGAGTGAAGTGAAAGTGTTGTTTGGTTTGAAGAAGGCTCCATGGGGTCTTTTGGGTTTAAGTTTAGAGGTGACCTCGGTTTATCCAACCTCCCGAATTCAGAAAGTCTGAATTCTGTATTTTTCTCCATCATGTGTGAGCCAGGTGCTCTTTTGAGATCAATCATGAGACCAGATCCCATTAGGCTGAACCCCCGCAGCATCCGCAACAGCCCCTCTGCCTCGTGGACACGGCAGATGTGTGCAAGAAGGCCAATTGGTGCTCTCACGGGGTGAGGGTGGATGGAGGGACACAGGCCTAACTTCATGGGGAGCAAGGCCCACGTGGCAAGACAGCCTGCTCCAATGGGACATTTCCCTAGGCTGTCAGCCATGGTTGACTGTTACCTGCACTTTGTGGCATTTCTTTCTGAAGAGGTTGGACGTGGTCATACCCCAGTGGATCTCAGGCCCCTGAGCCTCGGTCCTGTTGACATTGTGGGCCGAATAATTCTCTCCATCATAGAATGGTTATCAACAGCCCTAGCCTCCTCCTACTAGTAGCACCCCATTCCCCATAACCATGCCAACCAGAAATGCCTGCAGACCTTGCCCACGGTTCCCGGGGCCACAACTTGGGTGGTAGAGGCTCAAGTCAGAACCAGCTCCCTGGGCGCCTATCTCTGTGCTCGCCCCCGGGCTGCTTTCCCTGCGCAGGGCTTTGGAGCGTGCCTGTGGGCCTTAGGGGGAGGACTCCATCC